CGGTCTTCTCTTTTTGTGTATTATTCTCACATATATCAATGAAGTGATATTTAAAAAAAAAAAAAACTTTACAAATATGAGAATCAAGATTCTAACCTACAATATTTTAGGGTAGTTTAGAGATACTTTAGCTATTGAGTTATGTTTGAGTTGATAAATATATAGTTTTAATTATGAGTTATGTTTGAGTTGATAAATATATAGTTTTAATTATTTTAAAGTTTACTCTAGATCATTTCTAATTCGATTATTGTTATGGTCGGAAAAACTTTATTTTAGTTCTTTGAGTTGAAGAAAGTAATGGAAAGAAAAATGACATGATCTATTTTATTGTAGATTTATATGATTATGAATTAATAATTCATGACATGGAGATAAACTGGTAGGAAAATTGAGAAAAAAAAATGGGGTTAATTCATATGTTGAATAAGAAAGAGGAAGAAAAAAGTCAAGATAAAAGAAAAGAAAAATTATATTAAAAGTTTTACGCATTAAAGATTGTAGAGAGGTTTGACTACGCAAAAAAGAATTGTCTCATGTCATTTTCTTTTTAACAATTCTAGCAGCAATAATTGAATTTGAAACTTAAAAATTTAGGTCAAATTAGAAACAATCATTAAACTATATATTTTACCTTACTCCAAAGTATTAAGAAAAAAAGAATTTCAAATCATGCGCGAAGCATATATAATGTCACCATCAAACTTTTGTCATATCTCCCTCAAAACGACACCGCATATATTTCCAAAGCTATGGTCTTCCATTCTCGTGCATCACATGTTAATTTTTTTTTTTTTAATGTAAGATATATTATTGGGAAATGAACCACGTATATATCCTTTTGTTTATAGCAATGTCGCTCATATTTGTATTCTAGCATTTAAATATATTCACCAAACTCTAACTCTAAGTTAGTCCACATTAAATGGTAGCATATGCCTCAAGAAAGTGCCCACTTTGTGTGGGATTGTGACATTGCAACCGTATGATTTTGATGTCTTTTAATGTTTCATGGTGTTATGTAGTTTTTCCAATGTTGTTGTTGCCTTTCAAATTAAGCAAAAAGTTAGCTGTCTGTTTTGAGATATTGTTGATGGCAATAAATTTTGGAGTAAAGAAATTTGAAATTAACTTGTGTTTGTATTAATGTTACGATCTCTAATATATAATTAATACATACTTTTTCTCAGGTATGAACTTACGGCTGGGAGAGCTTGTTCTTGAATCATAAATGTCGAGTGTTAGGACGATATAATTTTTGAAGTCTTTGTCTTCGAATTCTTCAAGTCTTCAAGTATGTGTAACGTTTTCTTGTGTTTTTTGGATCTTCTGAAATCTTAGGAGTGTGTGATTGTAAATTTCTTAAATTACTCTTCATGACCCTAGATGACTTTGAATGATGGTAGACCATCAAATTATAGGTGACATTCTCTATTTATAAAGTCCCTAGGTGCATTATGTGAGTTTTCTTCTTACATGGATTTGGACAATCACATGGGTATAGATTGATCTGGTTAGCCAATATTATCAAATGTCGTAATAAGACACGTCACAGGTCACATTCTTTATAAATTTGTAATTGGTTATAAATTTATCAATATATAATTTTATTATTTAATTTAAAAGAAATTACTTGACATTTAATATTCGGTCAAAATTTATCCTTCAACAAATTGTTACTCTTCTTCAATGCGAAAAAAGGGCCATGATGGAGTAAGCATTATGCATATTAAATTAATTTACTAAAAAATACAGATCATCAGTTTAATTCTAGTTAAGTAATTTTTATAAGTACATAGTTTTTTTCTTTCCCTAATGAAGTTGTGAAGGGTAGTTTTCAATATGGAATTGGTTATTTCTTGTTGATAAGCGGCCGGTAGTGTAGATGTAAATTATTATATGAGGTGTAAACATTTTATAGATAAGAAAACTAAGATCATATTTCAATCTAGTTACAATTTGCTTTTTTCTTTTTTCTTTTTTTTTAAAGATAATTACAATTTGCTTTTAAATGAGGTAGAAAGGTTAATTTGTCGATCTAGAACTTGTCACCCTGTCTTTAGGGTTTCTTCGAATAAATTAAAAAGTTAGCGTGCAGTTGTTAAGGTTATTCATCTAAATGTGTAGAGTATGAAAAATTATTTTTGTCGACTCTATTTCTCACGGTTAAAGATAACACAAATATTCGATGATATACGAGGTCGATGCTTCTCATTCCGTCCCCAGTATTTAGGCCCCTATTTGATAACAACGTTTTCATATCTTGTTTCTGTTTTCTCAATTTAAACAAGGAAATGTAAAATTGTATGGTCCCAATCCCATGAATTCAAAAATGATAAAACTGTATTGTTATTTATGTTTTGGAACAAATAGAAAATCGCAACCAGAAACAAAAAACAAAAAACTTGATTGTATTGTTTCACAATTTATATACAATTTGGAGAATGTTTCTAAAAAATGAGTGGTGAGGCTATATAATATGCAAACAAAGTCTCACACTAATTGTAGAAGAGAGTGATCATGATATATAAGGAAAGACAATAATTCTCATTGTACGGTACATTTTGGGTGAAACAAAAAAGTAAATTCGTGATGATTATATCCAAAACAGACAATATCATATTGAGATATTTGGGATACTGTTAAGCTTCCGACCATTGATAAGTTTTGCTACGGATTTATTTCTATAAATGAATTATCTTGTTTTTTTTACTACGTGTTTGATTTTAGTTGCGTGAGTAGATCTCTTTGTTAAATTTGTACTTTCATTTTATGCCGTTAGATCATCTTTTTTCTTCCAATATACTTAACTTTTTTTTAAACAATAATAATAATTAGAAAGTTAGATTGTTTAATTAATACGTGGTTTTCTTTAAAACGAAGCAAAAGATAGCTATGATTGTACTTCTAGCCCACGAGGATTACAAAGATTATTAGAAATATTCTAAAAATTTAATGCGTTCTCAAAGTCACATGAACTTAATTTCAATTCGGTATTCAAAATGTAGTTTTCTTTCAAATGAAGCAAAAAAGATATAGTTGTCTTGTCGAGTTTGGATCGCTACCTAATTTGTCTTAAATGATAGGACTTAATTTCGTAGGATTCTACAGTTAAAAGGATTTAACAAGGTAAATTCAAACAACTCAATCAACCAAAGAAACTCAAGGAAGTATTCTAATCTAGGGTTGTTAATAACTGATATTTGTTTTGATAAATAAATTTAATTATTACTATTTTTTTCATTTTAGATATTACTTTTTAGGTTAGATATTTAGAAACGAACATTGTGTAAAAGTGAATTTCTTTGGGTTAAGATTTGACTATATATATATATATATATGTTGATGCATGGATTATCCTCCCTCGATTCCTCCCAAGATTCGTACCAAGCTTGATTATCAGGGATTCTTCAAGGTTGAATTCGGCTTACCTTAGGGTTAGGCAGCGTGATTGATTTATAGTCGCTTGGAAGGTTTTCAGAACCTTCTAAATGAGCCCTAGATAAATTGTGAAGGCCCAGTAATTCGTAGACAACATAATGTTGGGCTCGGCACCGAGTAGGGGTATTCGGTCGGTTGACATAGGAATCGGACGGAAGAAATCGGGTGGCATCTTGACCCGGAGAACAAGACTAGAAGCCGGCGTCAAGGCGCCRAGGAGGCCTCAACGCCAAGGCGGGTCGGTCTTCAAGAATGGGCCGACCCTTTCGTTATGGGCCGGCCCTCTTTGTCAATGATCTCGAGCTTCACGATCCAACCTCTCGTCTCGCTTGGATCATTTTTGCTCCCTATAACAAAAAAAGAAAAAAAATATATATATATATTTCAATACTATCTTTATTCATGAATTTTCAAAATGATATTTTAGTTTGTGTACTTTTATCTTTGGTTCGTTTTAGTCTCTATACTTTCAAAACGTCAATTTTAATCTTTATATTGTGACCATTTTGGTCCCTTCATTTTAATTTGTATCTCATTTCTTTCTATCATAGTGTAAGCATGATATTTCACTCACTAAATTTCTTGAAATGTAATTATATATTTTTATTAGTATTCGTATTGTGTATAAAATTTGTATTATAATTTTGTAAATAAAGATTAATTTGGTCACTTTTTAAAAGTACAAGAACAAAAAACAAAGAGTTTGAAAGTACAAAAACTAAAACGAATAAAATTTGAAAGTGCATAAACTAAAATGAATGTTTCGAAAGTATATGGATCAAAATTAATCAATTACACACGACTAAAATATTACTTAAACTTATATTTTTAATATAATGTTTGAAACTTTATCCCAAAATGAGGAGTAACACAATTTTGAATCGGTACATAGGAGAGGAAAATTTGCGAGATTGAGAGGCAAAAATTTTAGTGAGAGAAATAAAATTAGAAATAGATGAGCTGTAAAAGTTTATGGCCCGTTTGGTAAGGTCTCTATTTCTTATTTCTGTTTCTTTATTTTTAATGAAGAAAAATGTATTGCATGATTCGAATTTCTAAGAATTCAAGTATGATAAAATAATCTTTTTACTTAATTAGAAACAACAAACAAAATTAGTTGTAAAATATTTAGATTTTTTCAGAAAATTAGAAACAAGAAACAGAAACTTATCAAACGAGCCTTGATTGAGAGATTACAAAACCTTTTACATTACTATTCTTCTAAGTTTCTAACACACACATATATAATAAAAAATAATTTAGAAAAAATAATAAAATTAACCAAAACGAGTCTAGCTTAGTAATAATTGACATATATCTTCAACCAATACGTTGTGAGTTCGATTCCCACATTTACCTGTTGTACTAAAAGAAATTAAAATTTTTAAAAGATTAGATAGAATTACAAGCATTTAACTATATATTTAATTATATTTTAAACCGTAAAAATATATGAGCAGAATTTGTAAAAAGGTCGTTGATTCGACTCATCTGAACCTCAAAAAGAATAAATAAAGAAAAAAAAGAAAAAAAATGAAGATTGGAGCCGTTTGCAACTTTGTAGTGCTGAAGCGGTGCGTTTAAGGCAAGGCAAGATCAAAGCGTGGCGCGAGGGTTGAAAATTTTGAGTCGTTGAGAAATCAAATTTTATGCGCGAGCAAACGAAGACACGTCGAATCGCCGTAAAAAGGAGCGAAATGGCCCAACGGTCACAAGCAGAACGACAAATTATATGATTCTCTGGCTACAATTTCAGTTCATCATTTCCCGCGGAATTCCTCCCGATCTGCCGTCACCGCCGTGCATTTCTCTCCGGAGACTGGCGTTTCTATGCATTATTTTCTTACCGTAACCGGAGATCTTGATTGTTTTTCCCATGGATCTGCTACGATCGGAGCCGATGCAATTGGCGCAGCTGATCATTCCTAATGAATCAGCGCACCGGACGATTTCCTACCTCGGCGACCTCGGTCTCTTCCAATTCAACGATGTGAGTCACATTGCATTGGAAATTATCTTCTAGTGATGGATCTTCTTGTTTATCATGTTCGGTTACGTTTCTTCGTTCCTAGTCGTCATTATCGTTGTAATTCCGAGTTTGAGATTTTGGAGGATAATGTAGATCTCTAAAGGTTTATATGTGATCTAATTTTTACCATTGATGATAATTTCTGGATGATACTTTAACAATTAATAATTCACGAATGGATTTCATTTTGCGTACAAAACATATATTTACATATTCTCAAGAGGTTCACCTTGGTTATCATGCTAGGTTGCGTCTCGTCTTTCCTAATCATGATTGTCATTGTAATTATGAGTTTGTTATTTGAGTTTAACTTCCGTAAAGGCTAATGTAGATTTCTAAAGTTCTGCTCGTCATCTTTAATTAACTAATTTATTTATTTTGACGACAATTCCAGGACTATACTTTTGCACTTGAGAATTTACACTGGATTCATTTTGTCTACAGAACGTATTTTTACATATTTACTAGTGGATCACCTTGGTTGTCATGTTAGGTTCCGTTTCTTGGTTCCTGTTCGTCATTGGCATTGTAATTCTGAGTTTTGCTATTTGATTTTAGTTTTCGTAAAGGCTAATGTAGATTTCTAAAGTCATGTACGTGATCTTTCTTTTTTATTATTATTATTTTTATTTTGATGATAATTTTTGAATTATATTTAGCAATTAAGAATTCACAAGTGGATTTCATTTTGTCTACCTTACATATTTTTACATATCCACAAGTGGATCACCTTGGTTATCACGTTAGATTGTAATCGTCAATGTCATTGTAATTCTGAGTTTGCTATTTGAATTAAATTTTTGTAAAGGCTAATGTAGATTTCTAAAGTTTTGTACGAGATCTTTAATTTTAATTTTTTCTTTTGATGATAATTCCTTGATTATAGTTTAGCAATTAAAGATTCTCAAGTGTATTTCATTTTGTTTACAAAATATATTTTTACTTGGTCAAGATTTATTTTATGTGTTTTAGGTTGGCAGACATCATTGTTAATTTATCTTATTGACATCTTTGCATTATGCTTGAAAGTTGAATGCTTGCTTTTTCTTTTGCTTTCCACAAGTTTCTATTCTTGTAGATAGCAACTGATAGTTTGCTTTTCCTTTTCAGCTCAATGCGTCTAGAAGCCCATTCCAGCGGACGTATGCTACTCATGTGTGTTTACTATTTCTCTGATTTATGTGCAATGCTCTGTTCCTTCTTGTAATCGTAGCAGCATATAATTGCCATAAACGGATAGTATTAGTTTATTGGGGGATTTGGTAACATAGCAGAATGAGTTGCCTGGATACTTGGATTTTTATTATTTTTTGAACTTATTTTTTAACCTTTTTTTTTTATTGTTGTTGTTGAATCTGACTACCTTGATGCAAAGAAACTTCCACTCGTCCTGATTTGGTTCAATAATTTACATGATACAAATTCAGATTTGTATTAAGACTTTTGAGGTGGATAACATTAATATAAATTTTTTTAGAAAATGTGATTTCATTCTTTATCTGGGAACCCAATAGTCTGTCTTACTTGATCAAGACACTGATCTTTTATTTTTGTAATTTATATTCCTGGTTGTTACATGAAAAACAGTAAGTTATAACTTTCATCATTACACCGTCCCTAGAGACTAAGCAATTAGATGGTCCGACACCTGCAAGCGCCTTTTTTATTCATTTTTTTTGATAACTGAGAATCGGACCTTTGTGCTCCTATACCCAGGGGCAACCGCGCCAAGGCCTGGATCTGGGAGACATCAAGAGTTTTTGTCATTTTGATATTAAACTCACCATAAGGTTCGAACTTGAGACCTCTAAATCAGTATGATCAAGTGATACCAAGTCCTAGCCAATTGAGCTATCCCTTGGGGGCAACATGTGCAAGCTTTACCTGGCATAAAAAAAGAATGCGTATTTTGGAGAAGTGTGGACGTAGAAAATTTTATAGCTAGTACGATTGAACCATATGGGAATGCAATGTTATTGTTATGAGTGTTACTTCAATTATATTACATTTGCACTTGTGGTTATAAATATATACTTCCTTGTGGGGTTTGGTGTCTTAGGTCTTTTGTAATTATCAGTTAGGTGTTATTCTTGTATTGGAGCCCCATTCTATAGGGGTTGTTAGGCTGTTTTTTTAATGCCCTTGTATTTTTTTTCATTTCTCTCAATGTAAGTTTGGTTTTTTATAAAAAAAAAAAATGCTAGAGATTTTCCAACATGCTTACAAGTACACAACTATAGAGTATTTTCCGTTTCCTTTCTTTTTTGTGCATAAACGGGTGCTTCTAGCTGCTATTTGGCCCTGTATGATTAACTTCTAAATGACAGTCACATTGACTATACGTGTGCTATTAGTGTCATATCTTATAAGTTGAATTGTTGCTTTACAGGTAATAGCTGTGTAGGGCTTCAGTCCATAGTTTATAATAGGTTCTACTGATGTATTATAGTTGCAGCTGTATTTGTGGCTTAAATGTGAAGGGTTTAATTTCAAATGTCATGTAGTACCAAGACCACGTGTTACTAGATATATTTACCATTGGCTAAAAGAACATTGAAACCTCTAGCTGGTGGAATGCTTTTAATTTTCTGAATCAGTTCCCTACTTTCCCATATTGATTACACTGTGAAATAGAACTTTTAATCCCTCACTATGTAATGAGTATTGACGGTCTTGATGTAGGAAATAAGTGTAAAATATGCATCCCTGTCTTTTTGCCTCATTTCTCATTGACTCTTGACAGTTAGTTGACACTTAATTGGAAAAAGTTATGTGCAATTGTTATGAACAAAATCTTTTATATTTAATTTAATGGTGTTTGTTGCTTGCTACTTTTACCAAACAGATTAAAAGATGTGGGGAAATGGCTCGCAAGCTACGGTTTTTCAGGGATCAAATGGCAAGGGCTGGTTTATCACCCTCAACAAATTCTCTAGGGGTTCCTGGTTTAGATCTGGATAATTTAGAGGTACTCAGATTATATGATGTGGAGTCTTCTTCTTCCTTATTATTATTATTAGACTTTATAAATTCTTTGATGATTTAAATCTAGTAGGCTTTTCTTGATTTTGGCAGGTTAAACTTGGAGAACTTGAGGCAGAGTTGTTAGAGATAAATGACAACAACGAAAAGTTACAACGCAATCATAGTGAGCTATTGGAATATAAGCTTGTACTGCAGAAGGTGTGGGGTGCATTTATTGATAAGGGGTTATCAGAGTTCTATTAGTTCCTTTACTCTTTATTAATATTGCATAGTACTGCATCTAGGTTATTATATGATCTTTGATCAATAAAGAAAGTAACTTATCAATTTTTTTGGCAATTACTTGGAATTTCTGTAATTTGCAGGAGATGGGTTACCACTGTTTTTATGATTTCAGGTCGGTGAGTTTTTCCAGCTAGCTCAAAGCATAGCTGCAGCTCAGCAAAGGGAACTGGAAGTGCAGCAAAACAAGGAAGGATCCATTGACAGTCCCCTATTATTGGAACAAGTATGTGTTTATTGTCTTCGTATTGGTTGGTCATTACTTGTGCTCTTTTGAGTTGGAGATGGGACTTTATTGTGTCTTGTAGGAAATGACAACGGATCCAATGAAACAAGTAAAACTAGGATATATCAGTGGTCTTGTTCCAAGAGAAAAGTCAATGGCTTTTGAAAGGATTTTGTTTCGTTCAACTAGGGGCAACATGTACCTGAGACAAGCTGTGGTTGATGGTTCTGTCACTGATCCTGTATCTGGTGAGAAGGTTAGCAACGGGAATCCTTTAGTTACTGAAGTCAGCTTTACAAAAGGCCGAATTCTAGTTGTTTACCTTTCTATAATTGGTTTACAGTCAACAAATATGGTGTATCATAAATTAAAAAGAAAAAAATAAAAAATAAACAGTCAACAAATATGGAGTTGGGTCAAAATTTTAGTCATTTTCTTGAAAATTTTCCTCTGAATTAATTCCTTTTTACAAATGTTCTTTAATGTCCTTCGATTGTCACATCTTAATTTCAGGTCGAGAAAAATGTGTTTGTCATATTCTTTTCCGGAGAGAGAGCAAAGAATAAAATCCTGAAAATATGTGAAGCTTTTGGTGCAAACCGATATCCATTCACTGATGACTTGGGCAAACAATTGCAGATGATAACAGAGGTAATCACGTTTGTTGGTGCATTTTTCTTCAATGATTTCCTCTCTCTTTCTCTCTCTCTCTGGTTGGGAAGTGTTATTTCTTTGGTCCCAACATTCTTTTTTGATTAATTTGAACTGGAGAAGTTACATGTAGTAGTTTTCTCATGGTGGCTTTAATCACCCGGACCATTAGGATATAACCTTTTTGTTTGGCTCAATATATTATACCTTGTTCCTTAATTTTAAAAAGAGGAGAAAAAAAGACAAAAAAGGGAAAAAGGAAAGAAAGACACATGCTCATACAAACTATGAATCAAGAACTCTTAGTCATTGCATAAGCCAGAGTTTCTCATGTGTTTTCTCCATTAGCTTAAGCACAACGGACAATATTTTGAGTAAAAAAATTTGGGATGTGAGAACCTCTAACCTCGAGGGGAAGGATAGATACATTTACCTTTACCGCTGAGCTATGTTCATGTCGGCAGTAATGAAAACAAGATTTACTAACATATGAATTAGTAAGTATTATTCAAGTGTATTAGTTGGTATTATTCAAGTGTATGAAGAGTGTAGAAAGTGAGTGTTTCCTGCAAGTAGGGATGAAAAGAGATTGTTGTTCAAGGGAGCAAAGATACTTATGATTCCTTTTCCAAATAATAAATTAATGCCTTGATGAATAACATCTACAAAAGGGAGGGCTTGATTAAGGATCTAGCTCAAGCATACAGGTAATGAGATTACCAAAAAGCTTCAATTAGACAAAAGGAAGATATTTAATAAAAGCAAGAATATATTAAAGGAATACTTGTCTTTGTTTATAACAGAAGTTTCTTGAAATCAAGATACTATACTTTATTTGTAACAATAAATTCAAGTCTTACAATCTTTTATGAAGCTTTTCAACAATATTTCATTCAGCCCTGAATAGATGTCCATTGAAACTAATTGTGTTAAAGATAGTTTACTATTGTAAATAATTATGGTGTCTAAGAAAAAGCTTCAAATAGATAGAAGCTTTCTACATATTTTCCGGAAGAGTGCTTCCTTTTAAGAGGGATAGATTGTTGTCCTCTGTAAAATTGTATTTGGCGTATTTGTATATTTTGTTGCAACTTTTATTCCAGTAAGGGGGTTATGGACGTTAGTTATTAGTTGATTTACACCATCCAGATTTAGGTTGCTTATAGATTAAATCCTGCCTTATAACTGGAGCATATTCTGAACAAAAACTTGAAGAAATTTCACCAGTTCGTCTTGTGAAAAATTTACCAGGAATGATTGACCAGCAATGCTTCATTAGGTCCAGCAGTGCTGTGCATGGCTTAAGGTTTTCTATTTCCTTAGGCCCACTAATGTATCAGTTTTATTTGCCTCACTTTGGCAGTTGTTTAGGGAGTTTCTAGGTTCCTTGGTATGAAAAGAGTTGCAGCATGCATATATCACAGTTAGCTCTTGTCTTCCCATAGCATACCTAAATGCCGTGGATTCCCTATTAAGATAGATTGCTTCATTCTTTTCAGTTTTAAGAGGTTTCTAAGTTGCCAAATCTGAGTTATCAAGCTGGGTTTGTCACGTTATGATCTATATTTGTCTTCTTTCCTCTCAATTAGTTGGTTTTTAGAATTACAGTAGGATTCGACTTTTGAGCTGCTCAAGTATTTAGCTAAATATACCAAATAGTCCCTAATCTTTTAGGTAATTCTTAATTTGATACTTAATCTTTTAAAATTTCATCCTTAATTGAACGATCTTTTAAAATTCTCAATGTTAACATTTTTATTTATTAAAAATTCTCAATTAGGTCTTTTCATTAAAAGAAATGTAAGAGCTTATTAGCAAAATGTTGATGTGTCATAAATTATTGTTTTATTAACATATTCAGATGGGTGGATATGCCACTCATATACTATTCAACACATGATATCTAACCCACCCATTGGGGAAATTTGACTCACTTATGAATAAAATCAATTTTCTCGGACCGGCATATCCAAGTGGCATGCTCACATGTCCAAAATATGTTAATAAAATAATAATTTAATGACACGGTAACTTTCTAATGACATACTTTTAACATTCTTTTTTATGGAATGACTTAATTAAAATGCATTAAGGGTAAAATTGAGATTTTTAAAAGATTAAGGACCAAATTTAGAATTACCTAAAAGATTAGGAACAATTTGAGATATTCAACCTAAATATTTCCCTCAAATTATGCAAGAAACCAAAAACCAGGATCTTTGACCAATGAATACCATACCAATGTCTTATTCAGCTCCATCAGAAAATAGAACTACTTGGTTGTAAACTAGGTAGTCTTGCTGATGTTTCAAAGCTCGCAAAATGGCATAAAATTCCAAGCCGTAGGTTGAATATCTTTTCTTTACTCATTCAAATTTTCACTATAAAATGTGCTAGAATATCCTGGATATTTCATGAACTCCAACCTGCCCATCAGCAATCCAAGTGGCATGAAATCCAACCAGTTCGTCAGCAAAGTCTAATTTGCTCATGAACAAAATCAATTTTTTCCAAATACCACGTTTAAGTGATATGCTCACATGTCAAAATATATTAATGAAATAATAATTTAATGATATATTAGCTCTATGAGGACGTGATAGAATTTTTGTATATAAATTAAGGGTAGAATTGAGGTTTTTAAAAGATTAGGACCAAATTGAGAATTACCGAGTAGAAGATTACGGACCATTGATATATTTTGCATAAAATTCTTAGGAAGCAACATATAATTATATGATACAAATTAGATAGTTTTTCCTGGGTGAAAAAAACAAAAACAATATATAAGATATATATTTATATATTGAAAAGATTAAACCTATTAGACCAGGACTCCACTTAGTCTAAGAAACAGGGAGGTACAAAATCCGTATCTAAACGATGAGAAACAAGTTGTTATGGTACAAAAAGAATTACATCAAATATTCTGAGGAGTAGAACCTGCCAAAATGGTTAGAAACAAGTTATTCATACAAAAAGGATAATTACAGAAAAGAAACTAAGAGACTTGTAGAACTCTTTGGCTACTCAACAATCCTTCTCTATAGGGATAAGGAACCCAGAATACTAATAGATAACTTCTGGGTTAACTGTGAGAAGACTAAGAAAGCCACATTATACCAGCTGTAGCACGGTTTTCTCTCTCCTGTGGTTTCAGAATAGACACAACACTTCATTCCATTTTGTACATGTCATCCTGACAAAGTCTTTTCAAAATTCAAGGTAGCTAGCTGATGAGAATGCCCGTTCCGAATGCTTGAAAAATGAGCAAAAAGGCGAGAATGCTATGATTGAAATATCAGTAATCAGGAGGCAGTCATAGGATGAGAAAAATTGGACTATTGTCAATTGCAACTGCTTGTGCCAGTAGTGCACGAGAATTATCGTCCAAATTTGATATACCCACATCTGATACCTAGACACTTGGATTTCTACACATCTAACAAATGTCATATTCAAGAATTGACGTGCATAATTAGATGTTTGTAAAAACAAATAATTCGGGAGGATATATCAATGTGTAGCCATTAATTATGATTTTGAGTGCATCCTCAGATTTTTAGACTTAAGATCCAATTGCTAGTTTCTTGTTGCACCTAATCACAGTTTGAAGTTGTGATGAGTTGCAGGTGTCTGGAAAACTCTCTGAATTGAAGACTACCATTGATGTGGGGAAACTGCATCGAAGTAAACTCTTTCAGACAATTGGCCATCAATATGAGCAGTGGAATCTTCTGGTTTGTTTCAAATATCTTCCTTGAAATTTAGTGAGCTTTGAAAATCCTTACTTGCAAAGTGATATTTTACTGACTACTGTATTGTTTACTCACAACTTCATTTTTCATTTTGGGCTAATGTATGTATGTGTGTAGCCTGCTTGCAGGCTTGTATACTTCTGCATTCTCACTGAACTCTGTTCTTTGACTTTGTAGGTAAAGAAGGAAAAATCTATTTACCACACTTTGAATATGCTCAGTGTTGATGTAACGAAGAAATGCCTTGTTGGTGAAGGTTGGTGTCCTGTTCTTGCTACAAATCAGGTTTGTTTCCAGAGTTTTATTTCTGAAATCAATGTTTTAAAATGCTGCTTACGCCTTGAAGCTCCCCTTGAAGCAAGGCTCTAATTTTTAGCCTCGAGACTTATGCTTTCTTTGGATTCTAAGAAGCTTACGCATCAATGAAAACACACTGAGACTTAGTCATGTCATGTGAATGATTAGAAGAATAATGTTAATTTGCTTAATTATTTAAAAAAAAATTAAAGATTTCTTTGTGTATGGAATGCTAATATACGAGTTGTGACAATTAAATCTATTACTATTTTTATAACATAGCCTTTTTAAAAAACGTTGAAGACAAAAATTTAAAGATTAAGTCAATCCTATTACTGATAATAGTAGTGATGTTGAACATGTCTTTTTAGAATTCTTATTAAGTGGCAATTGATAGGGGGATCTTTTTATACTTTTATATAACTATTATGTTTAATGATACTTGATCACACAAATTTAGGTTTTTGTAATTTTTAAATTTAAATTGAGGCTGAAGGCCTCCTTTAGCGTTTTATAACATTGTCTGAGATCAACATGTTCTTCTAAATCATTATGGTACAAGGTGCAATCGAAACATATTTGAGATACTTTTTAGTTAACTTGGCCTAGATTCATAGCAGATTCAAAATGCAATGCATAAGGCAACCTATGACAGCAAATCACAAATTGAGGCTATCTTTCATGTTTTGCGTACGAAGGAAGCACCACCAACATATTTCCGTACAAACAAATTTACTTCTTCATTTCAAGAAATCGTGGATGCATATGGGTGAGTTCAATCAAATTCTGTTGTCTTTTTATTCTTTCAGGAGTCTGGTTTCATGCTCATATTTAGGAAGGCGAAGGACTTTGATAAGAGTTTGGGTAAACAAAGAACACTAAGGGATGTTGACACTATTTCCAATCGTTTTTTTGGTTAAGAGAAAATAAGGGATTTCATTTGTTTATTGATCGATGGGAATGGAGAGGACGTATAATCTTGAGTACCCAATGAACTGCAGAGGATAAAGTTCAACCCTTGCCCATATTATTATGCCTATGAAAAAAGAAGTACCGCTATTTCAATGTGTAGTTTGTTGATACTTGTGAATTGTACGGTTTAAGTTGTATAATATTATATTTCTCATGTTGCATTTGTCAGCGTGCAGAAAATTTCACCATGCTGAATGTCTAAACTATTTCGTTTTAAGTTCTCCATGAGAGTTGGCAAAAAAAGGGGGACATTTTTTATCTAAATTATACTCATTCCCCATGGTGGATTTAATTCTTTTGTGTTTACTTTATATTTCCAAATGTATTTATTGTACAGATGCCTAAGGTAAATAGTGAAATGCAGGGTTGCTAAGTATCAGGAAGCAAATCCTGGAGTCTACACGATTATCACATTCCCTTTCCTTTTTGCTGTAATGTTTGGTGATTGGGGCCATGGCATATGCTTGTTGCTGGCAACATTATATTTTATAACAAGGGAGAAAAAATTTTCCAGTGAGGTAATTGCCAATGTCTTGTAAACAAATGAATGTGAATTTCCCTTGTCCGCAAAGATAAACTTATTTGGCCTTGTTAACTACAGAAACTTGGAGATATCATTGAAATGACTTTCGGGGGACGTTATGTTATCATGATGATGGCACTTTTTTCAATCTACACAGGACTGATTTATAATGAATTCTTTTCTGTCCCGTTTGAACTGTTTGGGCCTTCTGCTTATGGTTGTCGTGATACATCATGCAGGTACTAAATAATGTAAGTTGACTCTTTTTTGAGCTATTTTCCTCCAAGAGTGACTTACATCCCTCTTTTTTCAGGGATGCTACTACCATTGGTCTCATAAAGGTTCGTGATACATATCTCTTTGGTGTGGATCCTAAGTGGCATGGTACTCGAAGTGAGTTACCTTTTCTCAACTCTTTGAAGATGAAGATGTCTATCCTACTGGGAGTAGCTCAAATGAATCTTGGAATTATATTGAGTTACTTCAATGCGAAATTCTTTGGAGAAAACATCAACATCTGGTGAGTTGCACTTATTGGATCCTTCGTATCTGTCGGTAAAATCATTTCTTTATTGGACTGTTAATTAATTGGCACTCTTTCTGAAAGGTTAATTGTTTAAAATTTTCTACGTATTGAAATTCCTCTGGGTGATGGATCTTTTCATGAAATGTAATGTAGTAAATTATATGCATTTGATAGTAAATTTTTATTTTTTTTAATAAATTAGTCAATTATGTCTCTTCAAGAAATGTAACGTTGAAGATTTTCTTTAATGAGTTTGTTGAGATGTGAACATCTCAAAACAACTATGTCCTGAATCAGAACTACATATTTGATATTTGCATTTCTTTTTCAAATTTGTAATATTTAATCCCATCTTCTATTCAAGTGTGAAGATTCCATTTTTTTTGTTCTAAAAAATTTCTCAAAAATGTAAACTTTGTTTCCCTGTTTCAGGTACCAATTTGTTCCACAAATGATATTCTTGAACAGCTTATTTGGTTACCTCTCACTTCTCATAATTGTAAAATGGTGCTCTGGATCTCAAGCTGATCTGTATCACATAATGATATATATGTTCTTGAGTCCTACAGATGATCTGGGTGAAAATCAGCTTTTTCCAGGACAGAAGTTCCTTCAGGTTCTTGACGTTTTTATGTCATCAAAATTTCTTTTCGTATAATCGTATTACTGAACAGAAACTAAATCTAAATAACGTTATTTCTCCACTACCAGCTTATGTTACTTCTGTCTGCCCTCATTGCTGTGCCATGGATGTTGCTTCCCAAGCCTTTTCTTTTGAAGAAACAACATGAAGAAGTAAGTCATTTTATATTTTTTCTAGTCTGTTATAGCATTCTTTTTTTATAATTTTTGTGTACTTTTTCCTCGTTATTCACTACCAGTTGCTGATCTCGTTTTTGCTAGAGGCATCAAGGCCAATCCTACTCCCTAATTCACAGCACAGATGACAATGATGAAACAGAACATAGCCACGGTTCCCACAGCCACGAGGAGTTTGATTTCAGTGAGGTCTTTGTACACCAACTCATACATACCATTGAGTTTGTGCTTGGTGCAGTTTCTAATACGGCGTCCTATCTACGTCTATGGGCCCTCAGGTAAAAATAACATTTTAGCATTCTTTGAGCCTAAATGCCGCACTTTTTGAGTTCTACTCCATGGGAGAGTAGAGATTCAAACTTCCGACCTTTTGGTTTATGATATATCCTTTAACTAGTTGAACTATGCTCTGGTTGACAATATAAATATTATATTAGATGCATTAACATTTCTAGTAATTTGTCAATTTCTTTACGAGACAATCAGATGGATGGATTTACTGCATGAATTAAAATAACTAAATTAGTGATGCAGTGATACTATTAGTATCCGAAATGTCAGTTTAGGTTAATATCTTTAGAGCAACAAATTCAAATCTTGATTGCTATTTTCTTGAAGAGAAGTACAAAATACGCTATCATGTTTTTCCTTGTTGACAATCATACTCCTATGTTTTAAGAATGGTTTTAAACATTCATGTGGTTTCCGAATTTGTAGATTATACCCTTCTATTAATTAGCTTTAGTGAAATTGGAATTGCATAGAACAAGTCAGAGTATTGATTCTATTATAGTTAAAATTTAACTAAAAATAGATTATTTTTTTTAATTTTGCTCACTATAGGGATGTTTGAAACTATTTTTAAAATATAAAAAAATGATTTGCAAACTAGATAAACTACAACAGTGTGATTTGTAATAATACCTATATTTAATGTACGAAGTTCTAAGTTTCTAACTTTAAATAACTATTATTTAGCCGACTTGAATATAGTTTAACTGATTAATGTATATATCATCAACCAAATGGTTGGAGGTTCGAATCTCTACTCCCATATGTTGAACTAAAAATGAACTATTATTCTTATTCACAAAAAAGTCCGAGAGGTGTAATCTTGTCCTATGTTTTATTTTCTATTTCTTGTTTTTCTCTTTCACTCCTTCGAGAGTTTGTATCTTTGAACAATTTTTGTTCCTTTTCATATATCAATAAAAAGTTCGTATCTTGTTCAAAAAAAAAAAAAGTTCGAGAGGCACGTGGGCACATGACCTACTTAGTTATCACATTGTTCTCCGTGAATTGTCCTATCCTTTATATTTGAGCCATTGGTGTTTCTTGCTTTATTTGTATGCTTATTCGTCTACTTTCTTGTTCTCATCATTCAGTCTAGCCCATTCGGAGTTGTCGAGTGTATTCTACGACAAGATTCTTCTCCTAGCCTGGGGGTTAGTACTACTGCCACACCTTTCTTTTTTTTTTCTTCGCGACGAAAATGCACTCGAGGAATCAATAGGGCCATAAACATGTTGTTCTAAACATGTGCAGGTTCAATAGTTTGATGATCCGAGCAGTAGGAGTTGTTGTTTTTATTTGTGCAACCGTTGGAGTTTTGCTAGTTATGGAAACTCTAAGCGCATTCCTACACGCCTTGAGGCTCCACTGGGTGGAGTTTCAGAACAAATTCTATGCAGGTGATGGATTCAAATTTTCCCCCTTCTCGTTTTCGTCGCTTCGGGACGAGGATGAGTGACAACTGACAAGACGAACATATTTTTGAAGCTTGGCCAATGGCCATCAACTCAACTGCCAAAAGGTACAATCTAAAAACTCATTCTATTATAATTTATTCGACGGCTGCATATTTTGACTCTTCTCCAAATAATTAGGAACAATTTTTGTTGATATATATTACATTTTTACCTGAAGTAATTGTCCGCACACACGCATACAATGATGGTTGTGTTTAAATTTGATACAAATGTATAAATGACACTTCATGAAATGAATTTTTTTAATTTAAATTTTATGGCTTAAACACATGGGTTTTTACCAACTCTAAGATGGATAGTATGATCTCTCACCTCTACCGGTAGTTGTCGAACTTAAGAAGGAAAATAATCTCTATATAGGAATATGAGATTGATTTGATTAGAAAGGTTCAACATATGTACTATTAGTCTAAAATGATGGGAAGAGTAATAATGCAACGTTTAATCTACCAGGCTCTTAATAAATCCAAAAGCTGAGGAAATAACCGCTTCATGAATAATTTGATTTTAAAAATTTTAGTTAGGTTAATCATCTTGGATAGCTCATTGATCTAAAAAAAACTAGAGTTATTAAGAAGAAATGGGTTCAAACCCCAGGATGACCACTGACCTTAAGAATTAATAATTCATATAGCTTGGACACTCACGTATATCAAATGATTTTTAGGCTACTCTCTTTTAGATGAAAAAAGTAATGATCTTACAAATGTTTTTAAAAAACCATATTACTTTATTTTCTATTTTTAAATAGTATGATTATTTTCTGACTATTTTGTTTATTTTTTAATAAACCAAAATCGTTATGAAATTTGACAAAGGTTTCAAAAATGCTTTTGAAAAATAGAAAAACTAAAGAAATAAATAAAGTTAGTTTTTATAAGTTTAATCTTCAAAATCGAAAACAAAATCAATAACAAATAGGCCTAAAAAACAGATCGATTTTATGTCAATTGTTGGCCGAAACTGATATCAAACCAACATATCAATTTATAAAAAAACCAACGATGAAACTTTTTTTTTAAAAAAAAAAAAAAGAGAACAAGCTGACTGCTAAATCTACTAAAATCAAACCAACCAAAATTAACAAAATTTACCTAAACTAAATTGACTAACTAATTTTTGCATTTTATATTTTAGAACTAGCTCTTATTTGCTGGTCCTATTGGATAGTTCAATTCAACATACACAAAGCCAATAGAAAACACAAACATACATTACAATAACATAGGATTAAATTAAAACGTCTGCATTTCTAGAGTCCATAGGTTTACGGAGTGCAACATTACTTCAACATACAAATTATACAGCATAATCACTAGGCACCAGCAATATCTATCGCAGCTAAGAGACGACCAAGTTCAGTTCAATAGCGTTTGATTTAACGCACCAGTCTCCATAATATAACTAACATATTTACAGAGCCCCAACAAGTTACCTTGATGACAGTCCTAAATTGGTTTCAGTTTTGGGTAGCAGCCACGGACGAGACCAGTGACTCCGCCCCGCAGGTATTGTGTCCCTTGCAGATAAAGTAGTAGCCATTCTCTCCCCATCTTTCTCCCCACGAGTTCTTTATGATCCAATAGGGCTTCTCCTTCAACCGTATGGGAGCGAACGCCCCCGACCCATACCCCACGAGCAGCACTCCGTGATTTAAATTTCGTTTAGAGCATATGTATGGGCATGAGACTCCCCCTATGTAGGTCTGCATGAAAACTGCATTGATTGCAACTGCATGGGGAAAATAGGCAGAGATTAATGTTCGAAATCCATGGGGAATGAAATTGAAAAGGAGGTAACATAGAAAGAATGTATAGATTTTTCGGGAAAACCAAGAAAATATGGCTGATAAAGGATGAATGTTTCAACTATATGAGGGAATACGCAAAATTGTGAATGTTCGAAACATTCCTTGTGGAAAAGAAGTGGAAAAAGAATGGATGGCAAAGAGAGTGAAGAGAATAGATATATATCTAATACAGATTTATGCAGATAACTAAGAACTATAAACAAAGGAGTCGAGTTAAGGAATTTAGGTTACACATCAATAATTAAGTGGAAAAAGATGCCTTAAAGAGGCCGTCTGATTGACAATGACTTGAGATCTCTTGGTCATACTGGCTCAAAGTTTTCAAGTTTGAAAATTATAGAGAACTTAATACCAAAAATCTACTCCAACTCCTCGTTAAAAAAGGGAAAATAGAGTGGAAAAAGAACAATGAGAAGAATTTTTATTACTTGCTAGAGGGCCGTTCTTGACCAAGTTAGCTGCAATTTGTTCGGCATCTTTAGAAATGACACTGAAGTTGGCTACAGAAGCAGCAACTTTGCCATTTTGGAATTTGCAAGGGCCACGATCGGTGCCAGTGTAAGGATAGTCCTCCTCTCGCTCTAGTCCCCCAGCTTTTAAAATATACTCGAAGGCCGAGTTCATTAGTCCCCCATTGCACCCTGCGTCACATGCACCATATTCCTCCGGATCGCACTACAAAACATATACTTTTATTTTCAATAACAACAAAATGATACTGCTCTGTCAAAGTTTCAAATCTCTACCCCTACTTATTGTTGGACTCGAGGAAAAATATATATATATATATATATATATATAAAAACATATCCACCAAAAGTTATTTAGAGAAAAATATTGTTCATTTCATGAATATTCTTATTACCAAAGTTTAGGTTGCAAGTACTCTAGCTATTAATTGTTTGACACAAATTACTTGGAGATTATCTCCCACGTAGTTGACCAAAAATTACTTAAAAAAGGAATTTTGGATTTATCCAAAATCACTTATAAATTATAAATCATGACCAAAAATGTATTTTTTTAAAAAAATAGATATAAAAAAATCGAAAGAGATTTTAGCATCAGTAACATTCCAAAATCATTTTTTACATTGTCAAAATTACTACCCTTTTCATTGATCATGTTTGTTAAATTAAAGAAAAAATTGATTCTAGGAAATTTTAAAATCACTTTAAATTAATTTTTAAGGTATCTTTCATGGTGACTTTGAAAAATCAATTATACTTAAATCTCTTTTTTCAAAATCACTTGTTATTTTTTTAGATAAGGAAAAAAAATCACTTGTTCTATCATCACTCTCGAACACATTCTTAGTCTTTTAAGATTCATTAATGCGACTCTCACCAACCGTCATAAGGTTGGACGTTATCGAGTAGTTGAGTTCTTTTTTTTTTTTCTGGGAGAAAAGAGTAGTTGAGAATTCAACAAATGAAAAAAAAATCAACTTTTTTTTAGTTCTTATAATTAAGGCTTAGTTTGGAGTTGTAATTAAAAGCGAATAGAGGTCAAAGCGAGCTAGCTCGGCTAATAGAGTGAGAATTTTATAAAGTTTGTCCAAGGAAGTACTAGATTTTCTGGAAAATCAATCTAGAAACTTTTCGCTAATATCTGGATTTTACATATCAAAGTAAATGAAAAAGTTATTTTATTTGAATTAATATATAATTTGCTTTACGAAAGGCCAAAAAAAAACTATTAAAATTCTCCCCTAATCAATTTAACACTTGCAAAATCAACTTCCAAACGGGACCTAACTCAAATTGTGTTGGAATTTTCTATATCCTAAATGTCTTTTAGAATTTTTTTTAATTTTTTTATAGAGTCTTTTAGAATTAAAATTAGGTTAAAACCACCTGAATTTCAAAAGTTGAAGGAGTGGTTTTTAAGAATATAACTTTATATTTAAATTTTAGTTGAAATCTCAAATTATTTTAGAAAATAGAAATCTACCCAAAAGTACACTAAAAAAATTAGTTTTTTTTTGTAAAAGAGAAAAAGAAAGAAAATTATCCAAACGTGTTATTAATATTTTGCTATATATTGAAGAATATATATACTCAAGTACTAACTACTAACTATCTTTCTRCTTACCATCACTAAAAAAATTTATACATATTTATATTTTTGAAAAAGAAGAAATTTTTCTTCCTTCTTTTGCATTTACCTCCTAATTCTAAAATACATAATGCACTCAAGTATTATCTTTAAAAAAATAACTCAAGTATATATTTTGGCCCTATTATTTGTGAACCAAATCTTTTAAAAGTTTCAAATTCTTCCCTAATGTATTGAAATTTTTTCAATTAAACATTATTGCCACAACCATTAAAATTAATGGACAAAATGATGCATTAATGTCAAAATCAATTTTACTAATTGGGTTAAAATTATTTAAAAAAAAGCTTTTTTTAAACAAAAAGAAAAGAGTTTTTTCTTTTTTGGAAACAAAAAGAAAAAGAGTTAAAAGTACTCTATGTTTTAATTTAATTAAATAGATATAGTACTAGCCTATAAGATTAGAAACTTATTCATTTCACATGACTTAAAACCTAGTAATTTCACCTAAAATGGTTTCGTTTGGATAGAAAATTGACTCATTAAAATACTAGTATACTACCAATCCGTCAGAACTCATAAAAATTACTATTTTAAAATTCATATTTCATTGAACTATGAAAAATTGTTAAATAAGTCTCAGATAAATCCTTAAAAATGTCAACAAAGTCTTTGAACTTCCAAATTTTAAGTCTAATTGATTCCTAATTTATTAGACATTTTATAAAACTCATCGACCTATCAATTTTGATTACGATAGGTCTATTGATTTTTTTTTTTAAATGTCAAGTACGACAGGGACCTATAGACACAATATTGAAAGTTTATAAATCTATTAGACACTATTAAAGTTAGTGAGATTATTAGACAAAATTGAAATTTTAAGGATTTATCAACACTATTTAAAACAATTCTAAATGTTTGTTGATTTAAACTTATAAACAAACCTAATATTTACTGATTGCATGGACTTAATTGAAAAATATTTAACACAAAAGAGATGAAATTATATCTTTTCACGAAATTGGAACTGACTTGAAAACCACCCAAATACTAGACACTAAACATATATATGACAATGTATATACCTTCAAGTATGTTATTTAAAAACGACTCAAAAAATTAAATTTATTATATTTTATTGAAAAAAAAAGGCAGTAAATGCCGAAAAGCATCCTGACTACTTTCTCTAACATTTTTATCTTAAAAAGTATATAATCTAATATTTTGCAACAACACTCAACAGATGAGAAAAATATAGTCATACCACCCTTAAATTATGACAGATAAATGTAGAAAAAAAAATCTATTTTTTAAAAGTTTAAAAAACTTTCAAATTTTTATTTGTGCCATAAACACCTAGGTATCGTGACAGCAACAGAAAAATAATAAAAATAAAAATAATAAACAATAATCAAGTAAGAAAAAAAAGGTAGGTAGAGGATGCGGAGGCAGGGAAGGAATGGCACAAACCTCATGGTCACAATCCACAAGCTGTTGCTCGCTCAAACTAACAAGATTTCCCGTCGACAAGAAATTAGCTCCCTCCACCGCTCCAACAGCACTGAAAGACCAGCACGAGCCGCAAGAACCCTAACAATTTCAAAACAATTACTTCTTCTCTCCAAGTCAAAACAAATCAACGTACCTCCAAGGCTCCAATACAAAACAGAGCTCATACCTGATCTTTGACCGGCGTCACGGCGCCGAGGTCACGCCAATCGAAGTCCGAGGGTAACTCCTCCGTCGGAAGGATCGGAGCCTTCTGAGCATCGGCTGGAAGACGGAGCCGATTCACTCCGACGAAATTAGAACGGAACTCCGCCTCCGTGAGATCGGAAAACCGAGTGACGCCATGGACGGCGCCGGGATCGAGCTTCTGGTGCCGCCTCGCTCTGCGCAGGTTGGCCTGGAAGACGCGGAACCTGTAATCATGCTCCTCGCTGCTGCCGTAGCTCTTTCCGAACTTGAGCTTGAAGTTCTCGAAGTGCTGCTCCGCGGTCAGGAGACGATCGTCCGCGCCGGAGACGACTTGACGAATCAGAAGATCGTCGCCGTCGATTTGATCGGAAGATACCCCGTACGCTACCGTCGCCGATAGAAGAATGGCGAAGAAGAGAGCGATTACAGTAGGGAGCTCCATAGGGACTGACTGTAACTCTGTAACTGGGGGAGATGAGAGATATTTTGGGGCTGTCTGATTCCGAGTATAAATAATTGGAGAAATACCGCGAAGGAATGATCGGCGACGATGCCGCCACGTATCGGCTTACGATTGGCTCTGTTCCGTGCCAGTTGAAAATTCTGTGACGGCAATGTCCATGGACGGATGCTACACGACACCTAGAGGTTAGAAATTAGAATAGCAACAACTTTGAAATTTCAATCCATTTTAATTGTGGTAATTCACATATCAATCTCACTGATCATTATGTTGAATAATTGACTTGTCTTTTCTTTATACGGCATTCAACTTGTATTTCCTATTTAATTGAAATTTTTTGTTGATTATATTAAAGTTTAAGGTTGAATAAAACTAAGAGATAAAATAAGTGGATTTTTTTTGTAGTCAGTAAAAATAGAGTTATGTTTAACTAAATTATAGATAGTTAATTGAAATTAAGTATCAACTTTAATTTTGTTCAATCGATTAAAATGATCTCTATCTCATTTTCAACTAAAATTTTTGAAATTAAGTGCAAATCATAATAATTAAATTTAAAACTTTTAGAACACATTTGTAATTGAACCTTTTTTTATAATAGAAAGGTTTTAATATTGTTTTTAATTTATGACCTTTCTAATTTATTCTATCTTGGTCTTTAAATTTTAAAATATTGATTTAGTTGTTAAACCGTGAAAAAAGAATATAATTATTTAAGTTTTTGAATTTTTAAATTGTTTATTATAGGTTACAACTTAAAAAAAAATAATGACTTTTTTTTAAGAACAATAACAACCTTGTTATTGCTATTATTTTATCGACTAATATTCAGACGTTCCAATTAGGTATCAAATGTCAAGTGATACATCGACATGCCACTTGACATTTCGATATGTCGAGGTGCACGACATCGATACTAGGGGGAAAAGTCGTTTTTCTCCCATGTCGAGGAAATGTCTACCTCGATATTTCCTTCGACATCGATA